CGTGGCTAGGAGTGACGTGGTCTGTGGAATCCAAACAGAGGGGAGGAGGCCGGCGGCGGCCAGCAGCAGCGGCAGCGACAGCGGCGTCCGGAACGCTCCCGGTTGCCACCCTCCCCGCCCGCCGCTTGTTTGGGCGGGTGAGTGTCCCCCTGGCCCACCACCCTCCTCGGCGACCGTCTTCGCGTCGTCACTTCTATTTCTATGCCCGCGCGCTCCCGGGGACCGCTGCGACAGAGAGGGCAGCTCCGGCTGGGCGCTGCACCCGGGGAGCCCGTGGCCGCCGGCCGGGCAGCCTGCAGCTGGGCTGGACGGGCACCCGCACTCCGGGCGCTCTCACTTTCAGGGCTCGATAGGCAGCGTGGGCGTGCAGGGATTTGGGGACAGTAACCTCGAAAGTCGGGCGGTAGCGTTCGCCTGGTGGGTCCGATGAAGTCACCCGGACGCGGGCCTTTGTTGTGGTGTCTGATAGCTGCCATCCTGAAAGCCACAGCTCCTTTTAGCCTCCATTGTGTTGCGGATTTAAAAGAGTCCCCTTTTCTGTGGGCTCTGTATGGGGAGCTGGGCTGAAAATGAGCAGGTAGCGGCAACACCGTTATTGGAAGGAATGCAGGGCGATAGCCTGGCAAGGGCTTGAGATCCGAGTCGCTGCTTAAAGCCGAAGTTTTCTGAAGTAGCTGTTTAAACGTTGGGATTTTAGCCAAGATGATACTTGCTAACCGTAGAGAGGCGGCAGGATGTTTTTAGTTGCCCCAGTTGGAAAAGCTGAGAATGTGGTCTTGATGGAATGCCTTGGGTTTGCTCCTGGAGCGCCGGATGAGCCCAGGAAGCATTTATACCTGCATTTGTAGAAGAGACCCTCCCGATCTTTTTGCTGTCTTGTCAGAAACTGCTAGCAGCTCTTCGTACAAGAATTTGGAAAAGCCTGCAATTTTCCAAGTGTTTAGTCTGGAGACGCTTAGGAGACATTCTTGCTGCCCTGGTCTGGTGTGGAGGTTAGGGGAAGCAGCTGCAAGCGCTTCAGCGCTTCAGGTGACTCACCGCTCACGCAGATTCCTTTAGTGTGGTCGCCCACCCGCCTGCCCTCCGAACTCAGACCAGAAACCAAACTTGGGTGACCCAACGCGGCTTAAAAAGGAACATCTTCCCCTCTCCGAGATCCTTTAGTGGAAGTGTTTCAGTGGCAAGCGGTAGGAAAAAACGGCAAAAATAAATATGTCTGATTGATTGCTTTCCATCAAATCGGAGAAGAATTCTTGGGAATATAGAGCCCTTCTTTGAAGTGCATGCCCTAGAGCAGTAACGGACCTGTTTGCAAATCTTTTCCTCTTGTGTAGGTCATGGGCTTTTTTCTTTCATTTTTACCATACTTGGAATGCTCTTGCTACAGATAAAGGGAATTTTGTTTTTTGTTTGTTTGTTTTGTTTTTTTTGCACGTCCCCCTTTTTAGCTTAAAAGGAAAAAACCCTTTATACTATACTAAAACATTATTTTTGCTTGTACGAAATGTTCTTTTGATGATTGAAGAAAATGTTAGAAGTACATGAGGAGAAAATAATAATTCTGCCACTCAACTTGCCAGATGTTAGTTTATATCCTTCCAAATACTTTTGCATTTGTTTTATAAAAATATGCGATCATGCTGCACTTGCTTTTTTTTTTTTTTTTTTTGGAGACAGGGTTTCTCTGTGTAGTCCCTGCTGTTCTGGAACTCGCTCACAAAGATCCGCCTGCCTCTGCCTCCTGAGTGCTGGGATTAAAGGCGTGTACCACCACAGCATTGCTTTTTAAAAAATAAATTTATTTATTTTGATTTAATGCGTATGGATATTTTGCCTATATTATGTCTGTGCACCTTGTGTGTTCCTGGGTGCCTAGGAGGTGTTGAGTTCATGGGACTGGAGTCACAAGTGGTTATGAACTACTGTAAGGGTGCTGGGAATGAAACCCAGGTTCTCTGCAAGAGCAGCTAATGCTCTTAACTCTGGAGCCATCCTCCCCTCAACCATGCATTTGCTTTTTTGCTGTGGGCTTCTTATACTAGCGCTCTCTCTCTCTCTTTCTTCTTTTTGGTTTTTCGAAACAGGGTTTCACTGTAGCTTTCGAGCCTGTCCTGGAACTAGCTCTTGTAGACCAGGCTGGCCTCAGACTCACAGAGATCCGCCTGCCTCTGCCTCCCAATTGCTTGATTAAAGGCATGCGCCACAATTGCGCGACAATTTTTATTTTTTATGTTTTAGAGACATGGTTTCTCTGTGTAGACCTTGCTGGCTGTCTTGGAGCTCACTTTAGACCAAGCTGATCTCAAACTCGGAGATCCACCTAAGTGCTAGGATTAAAGACGTGTACCACCGACTCCCTGCAACTGCCACCCCCCAAAATTCTCTCTCTCTCTCTCTCTCTCATCTATCTATCTATCTATCTATCTATCCATTCATTCATTCATTCATTTTTGCAGCTATGGACTGTGGACCTTTTCAGGTGAAATCCACTGTTGGAAAAAACAGTAGTTTTTTTGTTTGCTTTTTGATTTTTCTAAACAGGATTTTGAAAATTTGCTCTGTAGACTAGACTGGCCTCGAACTCATAGATATCTGCCTGCCTCTGCCTCCCTAGTGCTGGGATTAAAGGCATGCATTGTCTGTGCCACCACCCAGCAGCAGCTATTAATGCCATGGTGCTGAAATTTTTTCTCCCATGTCTCTTTGGCGATGATGTTAGATTTAGGAAATCAATAGACACGGAATGACATGTGAGGTTTCACTTGCTAAGTTCTCAAGGGAGCAAGTACAGTGTGGAGTTTGAGAAAAGTCTGATTTAGTAATTCCACTCAGGTAAATTCATGGCAATCCTTAGTTATAGCATTCCAACTGCACAGTAGCTGCTACCACCCCAGCCCTGAGGCCTGGAGGTGTTTTACTTTGCTCGGTGCACTTAGTGTACTTCTTTAGCTTTGGGAGTGTGCTTTCTGGTGCAGGGTTTTTGTTCCTTTTAGCCACTGATGCCAAAGGAGAATGCCCTCTTCACCCCAGCTTCAAAGGCTAAGTATCATGAAGTATCCTAAATCTGTTAATGCCAGTTTCTATTGTCATTATCTCCTGAGTAACTAATTCCACATGCTTAGTACACTCTGACTCGGTTCAGTTTTCATTAATTTTTACAAGTCTTTTTTTTTTTCACAAAATTTTTACATTTGTGAAATGTGCCTCTGTGTGTGTGTGTGTGTGTGTGTGTGTGTGTGTGTGTGTGAAGCGCGCGCACACGCGCATCTGTGTGCAAAGAAAGCCAGAGGAGGGTATTGGACTCCCTTGTGCTGGAGTGGTTGTGAATTTAGTTATGACCTAATGCCAGACAAGGGGATTAGGAACCAAACTGGGTCTTTTGGACAAGTAGCAAGTGCTCTTAATGGCTGAGCCATTTCTCCAGCCCCTTTAAAAGAAGTTAAAGCACTCTGTATGCATTCTTTCCTCATCCTGGTGCTACCATCCTTGCTAGACTGTCACCATCTCTTAAATGGTCAACTGAAGTAACTTCCTGGCCTCTCTTCAACATCGGCTGCTTATTGCGCTTTCTCCCATCGCAACCTTAAAATGTAAGTTAGATTGTCACACACACAAAGATACACACATACACACGCGCGGGCTCACACACGCAAACACTTGAAAGTCTCCCATTCAGAGTAAAACCCCAGCCTGGCATGGTGGCGCGCACGCCTTTAACCCAACACGCTTGGGAGGCAGAGCAGATGGATGTCTTGAGTTGGAGCCGGGCTGGTATCAGGCTTGCTGTGCGCTTCCTACTCGCCTTTGCCTTCCTTTCTTACCATGCTTGTGTGCCTGTATTCCACCTAGTCCTGTACTGGAGTCTGGCTGCATCAGAAGATTTCTGCTTTCCGTCCCTTTTGTTGTGTGTGCTGCTAGTGTTTGCGCTCTTCCTGTACCCTGGGGCTTTGGTATTCTCCCGGTTTGCTTTAGCCAATTCATTTCTGTCTTTCAGGTTGCAGCTCAGATGTCAGCTTTCCAGAGAAATGATGTTATTTCTCTATTCTTTTTTTCATTTTATTCACAGCATTTCCTACTACATGAATTGCCTTAATTTTCAGGGTTTTTTTTTTTTTTCTGCTTCAAACTGGAAGGTGGTGGTGCACACCTTTTATCTTAGCATTCAGGAGGCAGAGGCAGGTGGATCTCAGTGAGTTCAAGGCCAGCCTGGTCTGTAGGTTAAGTTCCAGGACACTCAGGCCTACACAAAGCAACCCCATCTCAAGGGAAAAATTCTGCATCTGATGGCAGTGCTTCAGGTTTGTATAATGGGAACTCTGACTGTTGGCTGGATGAATGAACTTGTGGACATATCTGTGCTCCTCTTTAGGCCTATTTTTTCCCAGAAGACTAATGTTCAGCCGCTTCTTATAGGACACTTTTAATCCTTGGTGTTTGAGACAGGGAACATCCTCATTTTGTTTTAGACCTATGGAACCTTAGAGAGGTCCATTCCCAGAATGTGTATTCTCCCCCAATCCACTTTTCTGTAGTGTTGGACATATGCACATGCCCTACCCCTGAGTTACAGCCCAGACCTTGGCTATAACTTTTTGTTATGTTTTTTGGAGGGGTTTTATGTAGCCTAGGCTGACCTGGGACCTGTCTTAAACTTCTGATCCTACTTCTTCCACCAGGCTTTGGGTTTTTTTTAGGTGGTGTCTCTATAGCTAGGGCTGGCCTTGGTTAACTGGAAGTCTTCCCGTCTCTTTCCCCCAGAGGCTTCCCCAGTGTAATTACAGACATGAACCACCACACCCAGCTCCAAATTTGCACTTTCAACAAACCCTTTGGGTGATTTTATTTTACATTCAAGTTTGAGAATGTTTCTTGGTGTTTTAATGTCTCTTTTTCTGGAAGATAGTTCTTTTATACTAGTTCTGATTTAGGGGAACAGTATGTTAGATAAGGTTACAATGCTAAGTATTACTTTTTATTTTTTGTGTAGCTGCAGAACAACTTAGGTGTAAGTTTTCCTACCCACATCTTACAGATGAATACACTGAGACATAGTGAATGGTTGAAGCCCAGTTCTGTGCTTACTCTGCTTGTCTCGCTGCTTGTGAGCTACAGCTTTTAGAACTGCACACACAACTTT